AAGTAACAATTTTTTGTTCGGATCAATGACATATTTTTTCGCTTTATCTAGATTAGAGAGATTACAACGAAGAAACGTGATAAGATAATTATATGTGATAATCCGAATTATCCAGAACATATTGTATTTTTATTTTTATATTATGGTTCTATTCAGTATACGTGTTATATTTACCTTCCAGCATTTGCATGTTATATTAAATAAATTGCGAATGATAAGAAATAAAAAATAAATAAATATGAATAGGTAAATGTTAATATTAAATTTATAATAAAGATAAATTAATAATATTTTTAAAGTGTTATATCAAATATTCCTAATTTCAAAATAAATTGAAATTATTAAGTAAAATAAAAGCATAAGTAATAAATTTAAGTTTCGTTTAAGTTATAATTACATAAACATATATATTTAATTCTTTATAAATTTATAGAATTATAACATATTTAAATGTTTAACAAAAAGGAAAGTCAGATCGAGCAGATGGTATATGCGATAAGCTTAGGAAACTTGTGTTCTTTTATAACTGATAAAAATTCATTTGATAAAAACAATTAAAACATAATTTTAAAAATTTTCACATCATCAAAATATATAAAAATTCAATATATCATGTTTTTCATACGTAATAATTTCATACATAGACAATTTTCAAAGTAAGAATTATATCTCATTAACAGAAGCATATTAGACCTTGACTATTAGTATTTTTTACTTATGTTCTATCTATAATTGTAATCAGTAAATTATACAAAATTCATATTAACATTAACTGTCATAATAATTTTTTTAATTTTTCTCTTTAAAGTGCTATGAAACATCTGGCTTATTTTTGGGAGAGTCTTCAGATGGTTTGTCTACATTTCCAACGCTACATCATGAACCACCACCATCCTATGATTCAGTTGTGGCTATGCAGGAGCAACAACTATTACAGCAACAACAACAGCAACATTTATTGTTGCTGCATCATCAACAACAACAACAACAAATGCAAATGCAAATTCAACGCAATTCACCTCCTCCTGGTTATCGTTCATCTCTCGATGTAAGTGGCATAGCGTCCACATCAATATTATCGTGTAATCGAGGTGCACCTGATGGTATGGACACAGCTAGCGATGGTAATGGCAACCTAAGCAACACTACCAGCAGTGGAAATATATATGTCCAACGTAAACAATTTACTAACAACAACAACAACAACGACAATAAAGTTTCCGTTAATACAGGCGGAAATGCAATTTTGAATATTAAAAAAGGATTCACTGCACAATCTTGTTGCTCGTTGCAACGTGCAGAAGTGGAGAACATGTGGCACGCAGCTGCTGCAGCAGTAGTCGCAAGAGCAGCACATACTACAACAACTACATCAGCCAGTACAAGTAATGCCAATGCAACTAATGAACAAGCAATGACCGTAACAACACCAACAATTTTAAGGGCGAGAAAATCTCTACCCTCCTCTTATGGTGGTGCGAAATTGAGCGTGAACGAAATCAGTCGACGTTACCTGCAACCGCATAATTACTATCAACGCGGTTGTCCATTGTGTGGCAAGTTTTGCTATGAAGTAGACGACACGTTTTCGTTGTCAACTGAAAGTGGATTAGATAATCCAACAACTTGTGGCAATATAGCTATATGGGATGTGGAAAACTTAAAAGCAAATGGAAATAATGCTGTCGGTGATAACAATTGTAGTGCATGCACCATTTTTCATAATGCTAACAACAATTACAACAATGTTTTTTTAACAAAATCTGAAAATGAAGAAGTGACCACCGAACAAAATAATACAGGAACAACCTCACTACCTTTAAATGTAAGCAACGAAATTTTCTTTAAACCTGAGCAAAGCATACCATCAACAACATTAGCACCAACAACAATAGCAGCTGTAGCTAAAATTGCAACAAATAATGAGCAAACAACAGCAACTGTTGATGTAAATGGCAACAACAATGAAAACGATACCGCTGCTACACACAATAACGCAAATTCAACTGAAAATCAAAATGACTTTAGCATGATGAACACAGATTTAGATACTAATGCCAATGCGTCTCTAGAACCGGCAGTTGTACCAGCTGCAACTAGTCGAACTACTACAACATTAAATACAGACACCCCAACAACAACAGCTGAAAATGTTCATACAGATAATTTGGAGCTAAATTTGGATTCAATTAATGAGAATGGCATCGTGCGTTTGGATATGAGTAAAATTATTGATAAAACTGGGCTACCAACTTATGAGGCCGCACTTAAACTGGAATCGAGTGGATATGTTTGAAAATGCATATGAAACCATGAAGAAAAAACAGAAACTTTACTGATACTCAATAAACATACATTGATAATTTCACAAATTTACACAATAAACATAAATATTATATTTTAGTAGTTCAAATAGTCACGAATGTGCTTTATCATAGGAAGTAAGTTTTTATCAAAAAAGTATTAATATAAAAATATTAAAATTATGAATACTAATTAGTGAACTTAAATGTAGTGTAACTCAAATGAAAATAAATTTTCGAATTTAATTCAATTATAAAATTTTAAAAAACACAAATTGTTTATCGCGTTAAAAAGATACCACAAGGAATATAACAAAGGCAAGGAATTTAAACACGATATTAAATACTTTTTTGCATGAATTTCTTAATTAAGATTAGGTCGCATTGGAAATTCTTTGAATAAATTAAAATAATTTTATAACTGAACTGTTGATTTTAAATTTTAATACTGGAAATATTTCTACAGTACAGAGAAATTTCTTAATTGTTGAAAATTATTCATGCTAGAAAATTATTCCCCTATTTTTTTAGTACTGTTAGCTGGCACATTTGTAAAATTATTTATTCGTTTTTTTTTTGTTGAGCTATTAATTGACACTTTTTGTCATTGAAAATGTTTACAATTTAACATTTTTTATGAAACGCCCTTGATTGTTATATATGTTGCTGAGGTATGTGGGATCGTTTACAATAACCTATAGCAATTACAATTTCTTGTGTAAGGAAAAGACTTGTAGTTCAGTTTTATATTTTTTTTTATTATTTATTCTTCTTATTATTATTCTGACATTATTATTATTGTCTTTAAAGCCAACTGACACTAGTGGCGTTAACCTGAATTCTCTTAGTGAAGTACTGGTGCCCTTATAGCGAATTCCACTTCTAACTTCTTCTATTTCTAGCTTTCTATGTTCTAGTTTATACAGTGTCATCATGGAGAGAATGGATTTTGGTGTAGTTAGGTCAGAATTTTCATAAAATTCTTGTTACTGTCATAAGACATTTTAAATAATTATTAACGCAGCTCAAATAAAATTTCAATATAAAATTTAAGTTAATTAAAAATACCCACATATACATATTCAAATTAATAAATGCAAGCCGGTTTAGTTTATTTTAAAAAGATATTTATTTAAGCTACTAGTGGTGATATCTCATGTGTTCCGTTCATAAAATTCATAACAAAATTCTCTTAGTGAAGTACTGGTGCCCTTATAGCGAATTCCACTTCTAACTTCTTCTATTTCTAGCTTTCTATGTTCTAGTTTATACAGTGTCATCATGGAGAGAATGGATTTTGGTGTAGTTAGGTCAGAATTTTCATAAAATTCTTGTTACTGTCATAAGACATTTTAAATAATTATTAACGCAGCTCAAATAAAATTTCAATATAAAATTTAAGTTAATTAAAAATACCCACATATACATATTCAAATTAATAAATGCAAGCCGGTTTAGTTTATTTTAAAAAGATATTTATTTAAGCTACTAGTGGTGATATCTCATGTGTTCCGTTCATAAAATTCATAACAAAATTCTATACTAAGTGAGCAATGCTCTTACTTTTATATTCAAATACCCTGAGCTTACAAATAAAGCTTTTTACTCAAAGCTTGTTCAGATCATAATTTTAAATCTATCTGATATAGCGTTTACACTGGCTGAAATGGCTCATTTTGAATGTGCCATTTGAGAGTGTTTACATTCGTTGTAATTCATTTGTTCCCATTTCAAACAGCTGATTTTTCAAAGTGTCTGTTGATTTGATTTTTGGTCTGTGCCAAAAAAATATTGCATGAAGGTTAAATATACTTTCAAACCTTAAAATATATACTGAAAACATATTTTTAACTTCGATTAAATACTTTTTGGGAAGTAGAAGTTCTAAAAAGAGATGCATCGTTTTCAAGAAAATGCAATCACCAAACTTTTGTCTACCTTTTTTGTAAATATGTAAAAACCAGCTTTCTCAAACTGTCAAAATGCCATGAAGAGGTTTTATTTAGGGTATGTTCAATGTATTCCTTTGTATTTGGACATATTTGGAACGCATTCGAACGTCGTTGGGACGCGTTCATACAGAATGTGATGAAATGGATCATATTCGCGCTTGAAATTTTGTATGCAAGAATGAGCCATTCAAGAGGATTAATCCATTATAACGATATTAATTCAAATTTGTAGTACAATTTATATAAAGTATGACTTAATTGCTCTAGTAAAAAATCTTGAGATATTGTACTTTTTGTTTGCTTATTTCTATAACTAGTTTATGGAATAGTTAAAGAATATTTATAAATATACATTTGACCATTGGGGTTAAATGAAGTAAAAAACATTACTACAGAAATAGTTTTAAATTGTATTTAATTGAAACATAAAATTATGTATCCACAACTAGGTCTACTTTGTAATGAGGACATTTTCAATGTCTGATTTAATTACTTAATTAATTGATGTTGAA